CGGGGCTTATTACTCTTAGAGGTAATATTAATAGATCCATCCAAAATTGCTCATGGAACAGATCTATTGATGTTGCCAAGATCCTTAGCTGAAAAATGAGCAGAGAAACTTGAATCTGCAATGTAGAACGCTGCCATGAAATGATTACATTTTGTGGCACCTAAAATGCTTTTATCAAAGGATGACTTGACGAGACATCAAGATAGCTAAATGCTTAAGACTGCATGTCAGTCAAAAACTTACATGTATTATTCAAGGTGCAGACTGAGCTTCAGTGAGGCAAAGGGAAAATACCAAACTGAGGCTTATGGAGAGTGTGTTTGTGCAAAGATAGGAGATATCTTTTGCAATCTGAGTACATTCATTCTGCTTCTTGGGCTAGATGCATTGAGTGTGACTTAGCCAACTGCACGGGGAATTAATTTAACCCACAGTGTCTAATTCAGGAGGTGCAGGAAATACATTGTCTCAGCCTGGTGTGGTTCCAGGACCCAGTTAGGGCTGCAGAGGTTTTCAGCTCTGTGCTGGTAGCCCAGCAGCTAATGGCTGCCAGTTGTAGTATGAAGTAAAAGTAATGGCTGCCATCAGGAAAATGCCTTTTCTTTCCAACAATAAGGGCAAGAACAACTCAGCTGCAATTCAGATTTAGCACAATGACCCACCACTTGTGTGCTCTCACAACAAAGGAAGGTACTCCCTTACCGCCACATTTTGGAGCCCTAACACCATAACTTACCCATTCAGCATCTCAGTGCATATCCTGATCTTCACCTGCTTTGGGATGGCCAGGAAATAGAGAGCTCACATTTTCAATTATCCCCAAAGACCTGGTGTAGCTTGTTTCTGTGATTAGCTCTGTACACAGACTCAGCTGCTGAGCACAGCAATGGTTCTCCAGAGCACACGAGTCCTGCTCAGGAGAGGGATGTGCAGCTGAAACTGTCACTGATCTTTTTTCCATCATCAGGGCTGTACAAAAGGCATGAGCCATATTCTCTGTCGTGTAAAACACCAGAATCAGACAATCAGACAATCAGCTAAACAGCAAAAGCAGCCTCTCTACAACAAATGAACAACTAGAAGAGACAATGTATTTCTATACCTTTATGCATGTACACATATATATGCTTTTTAACTATGTCATTGTCCTAAGGGTTGGCTAAGAAGCCAAGGAAATATGCATTATACGGTCCAGACCTGGCCTTTATAAAATTCCCGGTCATTCCATTGACATTGTTTCCTACAGACCTCTCAGAGTATCTGACACAAAATGATTTTTCCTATGGAATTGATCAAAATAGTGGCAAAAATAATGTGACAAAGTATCAGGGAAATAATCAATGACAGCAGAGTCCAAGCTTGGGAATAACCCATCACCAGTCACACAAAGAGGAAGAACAAATACTTTAACTCCCTCCCTCTGTGTGGCATCACCTGAGAAAAGGACAGGGTCAGACTACTGCACTGTTAAAACCAGGAGTGAAACAAAGGTAAACACAGCTCATGTTTGAATTGCTGTCTCCTTGTAACTGTCTAATTGTGTCTATACCCAAAGGGTTTGCAAGGCAAGAGTGGGAGCAGAATGACAGAGAACTACCTTAAAAATGTGAAATATGCTTATTCGGGGGAAAAAAGCAAATTTTCCTATAGGGTACACGTATCAATTAAACCTTCCAGTGGAGACACCTCCCTTGTGCTCCCAACATTAGCACTGGCTGTGTTACACAACTCTATTTACACCTTTAGTTAATATGAATGAGCAGTTACCATACCAATTATTACTTTTTACAGTGTACATAAAGTTCTTGATTCAGTTAAGAGACAGGGTCAGTGTTTAAGCTGAGCTCAGCATTTAGCAAGCTTTCTTTCCTAGATGTTTTGATTACTTAGGAAAGCTTTAACCTCTACATCGTAATGAAGGACTGGAAAGTTGTAGGGTAATTTGTAGGAGAAAGGGTGTGCATGAGGATATATGCACTATTATAAAGCTCAATAAATAATCATGTGAAATTGCTGGCATTTAGGACCCTCTAGAGGGGAGCTTTCCCAGCCGGCTGCTGATCCCTCATACCCTGAGTAATTCCAGATTAAATCCACTGACTTTGTAGAAGTGTATGTGACATCAGAAACCTACCATGTATTTCCAAAATGCATGTTAATTGGCTCCAGACAGTGGCAAGGGGGTTGTACATGGCTACAACCATAGGGCTTCAGCTCCTCCATCCCCAGGGTGGCTCAGAGGGAAAGTGGTGCAGAGCTCAAACGGTCAGAGCTGTGGGAATGATGCAAGATGTCTTCCACTTGCATTTTATTGAGAGAGCCCATAAAATTCAAAATCCAGCTGTGCAGGTTGGTTCAGTCTGCCTATTAAAAGGGTGGCATTTTCTCATGCCTGTGATTGATATGGTTTAGGCACATCTGTGTACTCGCTTAACCCCCCTCCCTCCACCCTCTCCATCTCAAACCACTGCCTAGACATGAAAAGTGGGAATTCTGTCTTTTGCGCATGAGGGTAAAAAACACTTCTTGACTTCCACTGAAGAACAATAATTGTTGGTTTGCTTTGATTCCCTCTCAATGCCAATTTTCCCTGGTTTTTCTCAGGGAAAACATGGAAGCCCACACCAGGGTAATCAGACCTTTTTCTTTCTTCACCTCTAAGGCGTAGGAAAGAGGCAGCTTGGAAAGTGACCCGGACACATGTTACAACAGATAATCAATGGCTCTGGCAAAATGCACATGAAAGCATTTCAAGCCCATGTTTCAGTAAACATTCTCCAGAATCTGTGGCTATTTATCAAATATGAATGCGCTCTTCAGGATGAGGATCTCATTTCCCCCGGTGTTTTTGTTCCAAAAATAATTGGAAGTGACAACACATAGAAAGATGATGTTTCAACTTCATGTTTAAAATAAATATAAGGCTGTCATCAGAGCTGAGCTGTCTTGTGAAGATCCCTCTCACAGGAGTCAACAGGCAGCTCTGCTGATAGAGAATCGTGTTCCATTATTGATTAGCTTTTAAGTTCTTGTTACATATTAGATTAGGATCGCTGTATGCATAGGGAATGAATAGCCCAATTACGGTCTAAAATAGCTCATCTCAAAGTGGTTTAGGATTTTGATATTATAGAAGGAATTTTAAGGAAATTACAGGGTTTATTAAAAAAGCCTTTAAGGGAGATATTTACATTTTTATTGCATGGCTTTTCAGGATGGGGAGGGCAAACTATTCCTCCTTATATTTCATACCAGGCTGCTTTTAGCTCCCTCCCAATTAGCTTTTCAAATCTTTGGGAGTTAGGGATTTGCTATATGGGGAACAGGTTTCCTGCACAGAAAGTACCAGACTAAGCAACCCCAGAGTCACATTTCCAGATTCCCCCAGTTTAAATGAGAGCACCCTACACTGAAATCCGTACCAGGCTCTGCTCTGAGTGCAGCTACTGAGATTCCAGGGCTTGTTTTGGAGTCAGTGATGGTTCCCAGCAAAAGCTGGCATTCAGATGCTCTGCTACTTCTTATTCTTTTGTACAGGAGGGAAAAATCTATCGATGGTGCTCAAAGAGTCACAGATCCCTGCCCTGGCCCTCGAGGGCACTGAGCATTGACCACAAGTAACTTGGAGTAGATTCAGGGCTGATCAAGCACATCCCAGTTCTCAGCAAAGGCACCAATCCCAGTGACTCCTGTGGACACAGGGGCAGCACCCTTATAATAAGGTATTCTTGAGGGTGCTTCTTAATCTGCTTTAGTGTTGTCAGTTTTGTAAGACTGGAGCAATTCTAGGGATTTATCCTTAATTTTCAAAAACAAGTAATGTTTTTGCTAAAGTCTAGCAATCTTGAGGACAAGACATTTTCAAGACTAGGTAAAGCAAAGCCATAGCTGAGAGGGTACAGAAGCCCAAACTCAAACCTCAGCTCCCTGTATCTACTCATCACAGCACTGACAATATCATATTTCACAGGTTTTGTTCCTTATAACCACCCTGGATATTTTGGTATAGAAAGAAACCACCCTTTTTCTACAGAGAATTTCTATCCTTCGGTGAGGTGGAACAGTTTTAAAAATAGATCTGACTTTCCCTCAAATTTGCCTAATTAATCATTCCCTTCACAGGTTAATTCGAGGCTAGCATTGACCACATCTCCAACAAAGCATGGAAAAGGTCACCAGAAATAGATTGCCAAGGCCTTGAAGGGTCTCCGTGGACAAATGGTTACCACTATCTAACACTATAAAAGTGTGATTAAAGGTAAAAGGAAGAACCAGGTGGGAGAGTTGCATGACCCCAGGATCATTGCCAATGAAAAAACACAGTGAAAAGATTTAGTAAGGACTCCAGGCCCACTGACTCACTCCTTTTGGAAGGTAATACATGAAATCTTTAAGGAAAACTTCTGCTCACCGAGTTGTACAGCACCAATAGATCCATAACATTGATATTAGTCTGCCGCATAAGAAGTTCAAGTTCCCTTATTTTTCCACAGCTGCAAACAATGCAAGCACATGGAAGGCTTCCCTTCAGGAATGAAAGTCTGAGTCCTCATATAGGTGTGCACACAGGTCAGACATCTCTCTTCTTCACCCCTCCTGAACTGTATGCTAAGATATCCACATGAATTTACAGTGCCTTTCTAGATAAGGACCCATTCTGTGAGGTGCTCAGTACAGCAGTTTAATCCAGGGAAGTATTTTTTTTAATGGAGGCTGCTCACACATGTTTAAAATTAAAGAGTCTCAGGACAAATTGCCTTATGCCCTACAGATGGACACTTGCTGCCTGTGAAATCCAAAATACAGATGTCTGCTCCACTTTATGTATATCTGCAACTTAATAGGGAAATCTATATCTTCATACAGGAAAACTAGAGGTGAACTTAGAAGGAAAACAGGTTGTCTTGAGCCCAGTTATTTTTTGAGCTTGGGGACACTCCTATCCCAAGTGCACAGGTACAGCTGCAGATCCCCATTACTGGGTGGTGGACATGCCTGGTGGACATCCAGAAGGAGTGAAAATAAGCTACATGGACTACATGAGAGATGAATTGCTGCATCAACCACTTTTCTTCAATTTTTTAAGTTCAAAGTGACTCTTTGTGGTCCAGGACACTCTGTGAGAAAATGTCTTCAGAAGTTCACAGGGTTTGCATCCTGCTCCTTGGAATTTTACCATTTGGTCCATGAAGACAGGCCCAGGGCCAGGGATGTGCTCCTGCCCCAGTGGTGTCCTGCACAGTGACCTGTGTAGGGACTGGGCAAAGCTCCTGTGCCTTGGTCTGCTCCAGAAGCTGCTCCATCACTCAGCAGCTCCGTTAGTCCCTCCAGATTCTTATGTCTAAATATCCACTTACTCAGCCTACAATGAGGATGATTTCTGTTAGACAACAAAAATTTTAGAAGCAAACAGACCAAGCTGACGAATGCACAGGGGATGTGCTTCAGTCTCATTAGAGCTCCATGTCTTTGACGGTCTATGTGGTTCATCATCTGCATTAAATAACTTGCACAAGACTTACCTGTCCAAGTAGAGACTGTACTTTGTTCATAGTTGTACATTTTGTAGCCTTTAAGCAAGACCAGAGTGCTCTCTTAAAAAAGAAGATAAATTATTTTTATCATTATCATTATTATTATCATTATCACTGCTATTGCTAGCACTACCTTATGCTTAGAAATGGTCCTCTGTTTTCCTTTACTTCAGTAAAGCAAGAGCAATTATGTAGCTTCATCCATTTCTCTAAAGGGCTGTGTGAAAAAAATGTTGCTTTCAAGAAAAAAAAATGATAATTTTTTACAAATACATAAAATAAAATACTCAAGGCATTTTTGAGAGGCATTTTCACATATTGCTGAAATTACACGCAATGTGTGAAAATTTGCATAACAAATGTGACAAGATGGTTACTTAAGGGACTGAAACAGAAGGAATAAAATATATATTAGATACCTCAGCTCTCATTAATTATTATTCTGAATGAGAAATAATGCCAGGAGCAAGAGGGGTGCCAGAAGAAGCAATGGGGAAATATATTATCATGTATCTAAAAACCTTTAAAAGGTGTAATAATAATTAGGAAATTATTACACTACTGATCTTTTTTAGTAGCAGAGCAACCACCTGTTCACACTTTTATTAATTGGTTGCTCTCCTCTTCCTTAAAGATGGTCTGTGAAGATTGTTAAAGGAAAAGCAACCTGAGAAGAAAGGAGGAGAAAGAATTCATATTATGCAAGCAAAAAAAAGTCCCTATAAAATTCATAACTTTAATTAAGAGTCACATGTGGAAAGACAGTTTTACTTTAAGACTGGTTTATAGCAAAACATAATTTGGCTTAGTGATGGAAGAGAGTGATGGAAGAGAGTGAATGTTATTAATGCTGATTTTCTTAATTTGCTCCAAATGTCCTGCCTCTCCCAGATTTCTTCCCAGTGCTCCCTAAGGTGTCAGTGGTGCAGACATGGAGCTAAGGCAGCTCTGTGCCCAGTGCTGGGGCCAGGCGAGGTGGTGGCCACAGGAGCCCCGGGCTGATCCAGCCGTGGCCTGGGGTGACCCACAGAGGCACATGGTCTCAGGCAGCATCCCCCGGGTGAAGCTGTTGCTAAGCTGGAAAACTGCAGCCTTCCTATTTTGGGGGATAATGCCACTTAATGTATGTTTGTTGTCAGACATCCATCTCCTGGATCACACTGCCACGTGCTGCTCAGGCCCCCACTGCTCCCCTCATTCCTGCTTGCCCACAGATGGAGATGAAAGCCTGGAGGTGTCCTGTGGCTGCATCGATCCCTTCCCTGCCACTGCTGTGGGAAGGGGCACAGCACAGCAGAGTCACCATGGGTGATTGTGCCCACCGTGCTCCATAACTATGGCAGGCAATTTTGCAAGCACTTCTCATTATTCCCTCCTTTAGACTTTGAAACATTTACACTTTATCTCTCCTAAAACACAGAAATCCTTTTTTTCTATCAACCTCTTTCCTTTAAATCTCCTGTGGAAGCAGCACGGAATTTCCTATTTGCTCCTGGCTGCAGCCAAATCTCGTCTTAGGTTTCCCAAAAGCTTTTGTCTTGGCCTTCCCCAGAATCACCATCTCCCATAGACAGCAGCTTTGCTTAAAAGCAAAAGCACGTGTCCGTTTTCCCTCTTACTCTCCCTTATGTTTCTTGTTTTCTATTCCCTCGCTCGAACCTCTTCTCTCTCAGCTCCTGTGTTTGGAGGTTGTATCCTCACTGTTTGCCCTAGGGCATCTCGTTGGAAGGTGGTCCTCTGCCTGTGTGCTCCATCCAGGAGCTGCTGAACTCAAAACCGAGTCCAGACAGCCACAATATAGGCACATCTACCATTTCCATCCCATTCGCCCAGTCCACCCTAACATGGGAGTGTTTAAAGTAAGCTCGGTATGGTCAGAAATAGGTGAGAGCAAAACATCTGCTATGCCATGGCACTCCTAACTTCCCAAATACCTGTTACCTCATCATCCCGGAAATAACTCCATTCCCTGACATCCCTTTGGAGCCCAACAGCTGGGGCAGGCAAGCTGGAGGGGGAGGGAGGTGGAGAGGGAGGCAAAACACTTTACCAGGGGTCCTCTGCTGGTAAAAGACAGACAGTGCCAGTTCACTGTGCCATTCCCTACTCCAGCTGTGAGTGGACCCCTGTGTTCTCTGTGGGCTCTGTGTGCCCTCACCCTGGCACCTACACCAGGACGAGCACCAGCAGTGGCTCCTGAGCAGGGCAGGGACCCCACGGCTCTGTGTCAGGGGGCTGGAAATGTGGTTTCACTGCACCCACCTCCCACGCTGAACGTGAGTGCAGCAGATAGCAAAAGCTAAATCCATTTAAAACAATTTTAAGAGGGAAAATAAGGCCCTTTCTGGGGATATTATTTCTAAGTCATGTTTTACTCTGCCATTAATATACTTTTGGAATGCATGAGAGCTCCCTGCACCCAAGGCAGGTAATAAAGGTCTATTAAAAGACACCATCTCTGTTTCCTAATGTTCTATCGAAGGTTCATTGATGAAAATAGCCATCTGGCTGCTCTCATCAGCTTTAAGGAATTCCATAAAAGAATGAAATATGATTTCCTCATAATTGCTTTTCTGTAAGATTTATGAGAATGTGAGTAACGAATAAACTGGGCACTTGCTGAACAAGACTCAGATTTAAGATGTGCTGATGCAAACGAGGAAGTGTCCAACTAGAAGATGCATTTCTTGGGAGAAATTTGAAAGTGTTTGCAAAAGCCACGAGTTACCACAAACACCTGGCTACATTCACTGCTGGTATAAACACATACAGCTCCAGGGAGGCCAAAGGCACTCCTTTAGTGTGCTCTAGCAGTAAATTTAGGTCTTGGACACCAGTTATGTGAACAGCTCACAGCTGAGAAGAGGACCTTGACAGCATCTGGAAGATGTCCTGGGTATAGCTATGCAGCTGATTAAGCAGCAGCATGTTCTTTTGCCACCTGCATCTGATGATGTCGTATGTGCGAAGCACGTCACAGGCTTGGGGGATAAAAAGCAGGCCCTTAATGCCTGGCAGCACTGCTCATACTCCTGCCAACAGTAAAAGTGGGAATGGACTGTGTGATTAGTGCTGTGGGATAATTAAATCCCATTTGCCAGCTATTCATCTGTCAGAGTGCAATGGTCATCGCTGTGCCTTTTCACTATTATGTCAATTATATGGTCCTATGACCTTTTGACTTCAGCATCATCTAAAGCATAGGATTGACACTTTATCTATTTCCAACTCTGATATTGGTTTTTGGTGTTGCTTAACTTTTTTGTCATCTTTTCAATCTCCAGAACAGGAATAATCAGAGAGTCATCTAGGTTGGAAAAGACCTTTAATGATTCCTTGCCCAATTTCATTGCCCTTTAGGAGGCAATCACATACTACAGATGTAAGTGCCACTTAAATACTTGTAAACATGCCTGTCTCTCTGTAGAAAAGGCAGTCATTACACTCTCATTCAATGCAAGCAAACTATTTAGTCCTGTGCAGTGAGGGTCTAAAATTGCTAATGGATGCCCATTTCTGAGGGTGCTCCACCTCTATGAGTGTTTGACATGCCCACCTATGTGTCCCCAGCAAGCTCAGGGGTAGCCCAGTCCCACACAGAAGTTGAGATGAGGTGGTGGGCATGAGCTGGTCAGTGCTAGAAGATGTGAATGATGGGAGGGTAGATGCTTTTCTGAGTTTTTAATCTAAAAATTTTTGAATCTGCCAAAGTTTGAGTCTTTACAAATACACGTCTCTCAAGCACCCTCTCCCAAGCACTTTCTCTCAACATTTTCTCTCTTTACAAACACATGCATTTTAAGACTTGCAGCATGCATATATTTGAGTACTATCTGTACCCAGAAAAGCTAGTAACCAGCATCAAAAATGTTGCTGCATCTCTTTACTAAATTTTACTAAATATTTGAAATTCATCACAGTTGTAAGTGAGAGCAGAGTATAAAAGGGCAAGAGCCAGCCATTCTGGTAAGAGTCAGTGTTACAGCCACGCTTTTTAACATCCCAGTTATTCATTCTGCTACTTCTTTTTTTATTTTTTTTCAGCTAATTACATCAATAAGACTTTATGAAAACTGTTGCCAAATGTTTAAAATTAGAGCAGTTCAGTTGTTATTTCAGTCCCAGGTTACTGAGGCAAATTGTACATGCTCACCTCGTGCATTCATTTGTGAATGTTGGGCATATCAGTGATTAATTAATATTAATGGCAAAAATCACTTCAAACTTGCTTTATGCTAGAAATCACACACAATCTTGACTCTAATCACTCGGCACATAAAGCAACTTTAATTGATAACCCAGGTTTAATATCCATCAGGAATGGATTCTGTAGGAGGAACAGAGCAATGTTCCCTGTAATCATCCTAGAGGAGATAGAAAGCTTGTTCTACCAACATCAAAGAAGATTAGGCAGCAGAAGCCTCATAGTAAAGTAGCAATTATGGAGGGCTTTTTTAATTCTGTGCACCTGCTTCATCAAAATAATAGGCATCTTTTAGCAAAATAACCTGAAACCCAGTTCACTGACTTTCAATTATCTGATGCTGGGAAATGCATCTGGAGAGACATGAAAAAAGGTGATAGACACACAGAGAAATAAAGAGAAGGAGGAAATTAGAATGAGGAAAAATATGAGGGCCTAAGTAAGTGGGTGTTATAAATATCCCGTGCCTCGGGCTGAATATAGAACAGGAATACTTTTGCTGAGTTATGACTGTGGCATCAGGCACATCTGACCAAATCAGTCCCTGGTGGAGCACCTGTGACTACAGCAAACAGCTCACCCTAGGGACAGATTTGGCTGATTGCTTTTAAGGGGAATTTTAGATATCAAAACTTAATGCAAGCTAAGGAAGCGCATGGTAACTTCCCACAAACACTTCAGGCTGTATAACTCAAAGCAAAAATGACTATCCTCAAATTGCCCCTTATCAGGTAGTCTTGCTATGCAAAGCTAGGAATGACCACATAAGTTCTTTTCAAAAGATGAATCTAAAGTTAGACTAGAGCCTATATTCCCTGGAGGTGAGAAGGGGAAAAAAGCCCATACACAGTCTTGGTTTTCTTAAGGAACTGCATCCCCATTTTTGGAAAAGCAAAAGGGCAGACCCTCAGAATGAGATTTAAGAAGCCTGCCTGGGGTTTGGTACCCTTCCTTATTAAGCTCTAAGAGCATTGCTTGTTTTTCAATACATCCCAGTTTTTCCTGAAAACACTTTTTTGGAGATTGGTGGGTAATTCACTTCAACATCTCATGATCTGCCGCTCTGGTGCCTCCAAAGGCAGAGCATAGCAGAGTTCTAAACAGAGAAAAGCTGCGTTACCAACCCCATTACCAGGAGGAGTTCTTGCCAGGCTTGGGTCAAAAACAAAGACAGCACTTCTGCATCTTTTTTTCCAGCTTTACATCCCTGTTAAATTTACTGTGCCCCCTTACACACCTCAGTCTCCCCCATTACATACAATCACCCACACCTCATTCTGGCTCAGAAATGATCCCCACATGGATGCAGGTCAGGAGAGCTGCTCTCCATTTTATCTCCTGAACTCATGTTTCCCTGCACACATCCAGCAGATACTGCTCTGTATGCTGGAGGCTAAAGCACAGGAGATCATGATGCAACAACCATGACTGGCAGAGGCTGATCCTTCAGCAAGAATCACAGCCGCTTCCCACTTCATGTGAATGAAATACAAGTAATTCCATTGTAATTAAATAGGAATTTTTGTGTGAATTCCAAATGAACCTTTGTAACATTTTCATTAGTCCTCAATACACCTCTTATTTTATCTCATTAGAATTATTGGTAATAAATGGTAGTAACTGAATTGTAATTAAATAGGAATTAAAATTTGACTTCCTAATGAACTACAGCAAAGCAATCACTATTTCAATATACATTAATTGCTGTTCTGTTAGGAATACAGGCAACTTATTTTTATTGAATTGCTACAAATTATAATGAATATATGGCCTGAGCCTACAAAATGGTCTCACGTCAGTAAGTGTGCCTGGTAGATGTCAGACAGCTGTGCAGCAAGCAGATCTACCCAAGGAACTTGGGACTTGCGGCATGCTAATGCCAGTAGAGAATACAGTGGATTATGACATCCCCAGAATAAACTTTCATTTCAGAATCTCGCTATTAATTTACAAACAGAACAGACATGCCATTGGGGCTGCCACTGGGGAAGTGGACTAAAAGGTGTGAGAAACCAATAGCAATAATACCGGACTAGTGCATTTTTATGTTATTGACCGCTGTTTGATTATAATAAAAGTGCTTTGTAATATATCCTGGGGTGGTAAACTGCATATAGAAAACCCCCTTTTATTATTTATACATTCTGTCTCTGCATATAGAAATATATATAATATATGAATGAATAAAATTTCACTTCTATGACTGTTCTAGATTTAAAAGCCACAGATTGCTGTTTCCTTGTATTACTGTTGTGGATGTAGCAGGCGTTTGGTGTAAGAAGTGTAAGCTACAAGAGGCATGTCTGTAAAAGGGAGTGCTGACTATTTAACAGGGGCTGGTATCCACTTTCAGGGCAGACTTTCTGGTTTAGTGGGATGGGTGGGAGAGAGAACCCCAAGCTTTCTGTTGTCACTTTGAAAGCTGGCAGCATGCGTCCCACTGAGCAGCCTTCCCTCTCCAAAGTGATGGACTCTGGACTGAATTCTCCAGGCTTTAACAGAGTGTGAATTCCCCCATTAACTACTGAGGAGTTTTTTCATTCAGGCTCCTCATTTCTGGCCCATCATGCCATCTCATGCTGTTGATTTCTAGGGGACAGCACCAGCTGCCCATCACAGACATGGGACAGCCAGTTTCCTTGGCACAGCGTGGGCCGAACACACTGATGTGATTACAGGGTCTGTCTCAACATGGTTTTACATGCCCTGAAATATCCTCATGACTCCATTTTTTCACCATTGCTATCATTTTTGCTCTCCTCATCCTGCAAAGTGAGTGTCTGACTAACATTTACAATCCCTCTGGATTTCCAGACCCAGCAGGTGAAATTCAGAATCAGGCTCTGGGATAGGAACTGCGAGAGCCAGTCATGTGTGGGCTTGGGAGAGGGCAGCTCATTCCTTAGGCATTCTTGTTATACTGGAATTTAAATCACAGAGATTGAACAGGGAAAGTAAACTCACTTTTTCAATTTTGTTACCTAATCAAAACTCTGAAGCTTTCTAGTGCTGGAGAGTGTTCACATATCATCCACTTTCCATATCCAATGCTGACAAAACAATAAGGCAGGAATAACATAAGTCGTGAGAAAACTAGTCTGTCTCATAAATCTTCACAGGAAAGTGGCTGCTGTTTTATGTTATTGCAGTGTGTTGTTTCCAATGAAGTGATTACTGTTAGATGTATTTTTAAATTGCTTTTGGTATTTTTAAAAATACATGATTTTGAGAGTGATAGAAATGAGATTGAGTGGTGGTAGGCAGTGCCTACAATATGATTAACTTTTCCCCAGACCAGCTACTTTGGAAATTAAGGTTACCAACACAGCTGTTGTCAACTTTCCCCTGGCTGAAAAGGACTCATTGGAGTCTGTTTGATGTGTGCAATTATCCTACAGCCCACCTAAACCCTCCTCCTGCTTCAGACACTACGCGGGCTTGCATTCAGCTTCGAGTTGTTTGATTAATATTTGCTAGTGTTATTTTAAAGTGTGAATGTGCATGTTTATGCACTAAATCCCTGTAACACAGTCTCAAGTTACATCCTGTTGTGACTGACAAGTTGTGGTTTCTGTCCATGGAGGGGAGGAACCACTTTTTGTGTTAACAGCTTCAACCGAGGCACACACGCTTCCAAAAAGCCTGAGCTACGTTTTAGATAAAGTTCATTTGGAAGACATTCAAGGCAATAAATATCAAGTGAGAGGTTTTCTCAGGGCTTTACAAGTCATTAAAACTCCAGGTAGATTTTACCTACCAGAGGCTTCACTTGTGGCTTGCTGAGTTCACACGGTCCTTTTCCTGCATATCGTCATATCCCTTCCAGTGGCTAATGAAGCCTGTAACCATCCCAGGGCCCACCTGCAGGGTCCCTGTGTGCTCCACAGACCAGGCACTACAGGGTTAAGCTCACTCAGACAAGAGGAGACTCAATAAGAGGCAAAAGGAAAATGAATTAGAGGAAAATCAACAGGCAGCAAAGGAAAAACTAAATTACATTTCATGTACACACATGCACTCTTTTGGCTGGAGGGGCAGAAAATATAGCCAAAACCTGGCTGTTTTTATTCTAAACAGTGCATCAATCCATTGATTAATTTTACACTTTGTTCCTTATGAACCTGGGCTGGGGCCATGAATGCTGCTATGAAAAGAAGAATATAGCCAAAAAGGAACTCTTAAAAAGTTGGCAGCTGTTTCAAGGCAATGTGTCTGGCCAGCAGGAAGGAGATGGCTCCTCCAGGGAAGTGTATAAAGCTGTAAAACCATTTGTGAACTGGCCCAGTTCAGTTTATAAGGTGTGTGACTGACTTAAAGTCAAGTTTCTTGCACAAATTTGTGACTTGTAAATCGAATTACAAAAGCAGTCTTAAGTATCATTTTTCCAAAAGGGCATTACAAGATTGGTTAAGAATGACTGTATTTCCTCACTAATACCATTAACTTTAGAATTGTTTCCATCCATTACTGAGTAGAACAAGGGCAGTTTACCGTAAATTGCTCCATGCTGTGTGGTTCAACTGGTCAGCTTCATGGTATAAGAAGCATAAATAAAACGAAACCAAATAAAGGAATACAATAAAACACCATGGACCAACTTCAGTCTTGGTGTAATCAAATGCAAATGGCAATTAATGGAGTTACACTCATGCACACCAAGGCTGACACATCCCTTGGCCACAGAGCAGAGGGAGGCAAACGTCACCTCTCTGTGTTGCTTCCCAGGAACAGCTACGGTGAGCAGGTGCAAGCTGTGAGCTCATTCCAGTTACCTGCTATCTGCTGCCTAGGTGTTTTCTGAAAAGCTTAATTTAGCCAGGATTCCTCTTTTGTAAGTGTGTATTCCTTTCAGCAAGTTAGGAGGTTAAGGAATGATTTGGGAAATACCCTTAAAATCTCTCCAGGGTGAGCGAAGAGTGACTTTCAGTAGGTGGAGATCTGTGTAAGATCTCAAGAAAATCGGATGGAAGGAGGGGGGAATTCTGTCCATGATACATCTTACTTGTCATCCAGACCACGTTGCTTAGTGCAGGAGAGGGATATGAGTTTCCATTTACAGGAGGTTCAGAAATCCCAGGACACTGCTTGTCTTGTTTGTATGAAGCAAGGGATAGCACGAATCCCACTTACTGACAGAGAAACTCACCTTCTGTAGAAAACTAACACAAAACCAGGACACCACTGCCTTAAAATAGGGATCAGCAGAGGCCTAGGACACAGGGGTTTCACACAGGCAATCTGACCATTCCCTGGATGAACACACAGCACTCTATGGCCACACACCTTCTGGCATCTGTCTGGGAGTTTGGCTCAATGGTGAATGTGACTTGTGATCAAATTTGGCAACTGCAATGAGAAAACATGGTATGTAGGTGACTTTCTAAACCATTGCTCGTCTAAGCCACAAAGCTGCTGCTGCTTTGGTTGTTGGACTATTCAATTTTCACACCTTCTTAGTGCCTACAACCTCAACATAAACACTTCTGAGCAAACAGGAGATCCAAAATCTCTGCACAGCACCAATTCTTTCCCTTCTCACTGCATTTCGGTGTTGCTAATTGCTAATTAATCACAGACTTTACCCATCCTCCCTCTTGCCCAAGTTTTATGGTTGAAGTTTTGTTTGAACTATGCTTCTCCCAGCTGAGCAGTGCTTGAGGGTCAACAGAGCTGTGCCATGTACTGTGAAAAGTGATGCTTCTTTTAAGGAGCCTCGTTATTGAAACAACTTTTGAGCTAATGTTTGGAAATAACTTTGAAATGAGGACTTGCACAGATTTGTTTTCTTAGTGCAGCAATTAGCTCCTTGAGCGGTGACTGGCTGCAGTACCTTCTGCCACGTCTGACACATTAAATAAATTATTCACTCAGTTCATTAGTTGGAAATACACTTTGTAATACCTGCCGAGTTACAGGACACGCAGCAAAGCCACAGTTCACTTCAACTAGAAAAATGAAGTCAGGTTTTGCTGCTCCTGCATAAACAAAAAAAGGACGGGAGGAAAAAAAGGTAAATAAGATACTGTTTTTCCTACCAGTTGGCTCAGTCCGTTTGCTTCAGAACACTGCCCCTCTGCCTTGCTCCCTTTTTAATTATCAGGTTGTGATTCTGTCTTTCCCACCAAGTTGGACAACCTCAGCAAAATCTACCATTGCTTCTGGTGGAAAAACACAGCATTGGTTATTTTTAATGAAAGTACAATGTCACAGCCACAAGAAACAACTTCAGTGTTTTTCCTGCCAGACCAGCTCACTGTTGCAAGGAAGACTTGCAAGTGGTCTGTTTGTCAGACTTTCCCTGGGCAGGCAGCAGCCACCAGACACCTTTGTGGAAAGGTGGAAGCTGGGGCAAGGAAAAGTGTGGGTTGTCCTTCGTGCTTGCTGGATTCCAGTCAGTGCCTGAGGACAGACTCACAGCACTGACTGTGCCCATGGGAGATGGGATGAGCTGTGGAGGCAGCATCTGTTGATCCAACAGCATCTCACCCACCCACCTGTATGGAAACAGGACCGTGGCTGGGTCTGCAGTTGTGCAGTGTGGATGGAGGGAGGCACAGCTGCTGCTGCTCTGGATGCAGAAGGTGGAGCTGTTACTGTCCAGCAGCCGGTGCAGTCAGGGCCCTGGCCTGGGGCAATACAACATCCAGGATCTTACCATGCAGGGCATGACATTTAAAGAGAGAAGGGGACTTTTAAATACCAGTTAGCAGTTAAACTTAACTAGAGATGGCAGGGCAGGAGGATGAGGAGACCTTTGGAGCCTTATCCTGCTCTTCCAGCCTCATCATTCAAAGCAGCCCTAAAAACAAAGCCCAGATCCAGCCAGCTTCAAGTACATCCTTGAGCTAAAGATTTCTTCATCCAAAGGATAGTCATCCTTCCTTAAAAGATGCTGGAGCCAGTCACTAATGGTAACTAGTCAGGAAGCACTGTGGGATTCATCCCTGAATGATGGGATGCATTTTGCAGAGGAAAACACCTGTAATTAAAATTCTAAATACATATTCAAGCATCGAAATTGGTGACATGATTTTGCAGAAGTGAGAAGCAGTGATGTCAGTGGAGGCACCAAGGTGAACCCTGTTACAGAGCTGCCACCCTGAAACAGGTCTTGGGTGGCTTACTCCTTTTTTTTTGTTCAATCAGATTCCCTCAAGTAGAATTAAAAGGTTCAGCCACTGCAGGCCAGCTGCACTCTTCCCAGTCAACATACCATGGATGACACAGGTCTGTTATGCAAAAACCGCAGTGTGTAAAGAAGAGGATAAAGGAGAGAAGAAATCTAATAAATACTCCATTATCTCCAGTGTATATTATGCAAAATTTGGCATGAAATCTTTATCTCACATAAACATGAAGGTCACTTATTTGTTCATTAAATTCTCCTCAGTCTACATCATTATGCTCATAGTTTTTCTTATACTTAATGTAGTAGGGGCCTGCCAAACTCATTAGACATCAGCTGATAAATGGATTTGAACTCACAATCTGTTAAAAATCACATAGGCACATTAGAGCAATATTTTCATGGCTTAGAGAGTGTATACATTTAAATCTTCCCAGAGAGGATTTTGAGCATTTTTGATCCAGTGCAGCAGACTCAACACATAATTCAAGTCTGCTTGCTGTAAAAATTTACAGGCTGGGATCTTAGCATCACTAGTCATAAATCAAAGCTGTGCACTTAAAAATGTGATAGTGGCAAAACTGTTGGATAGGGTGTAAACATCATCAAGCTCATTGCCATGCAGAACTTGCATTGAAATAATGGGGGAGATATTGTTAAATGTTGCATGTATTTTCACTCTTCTGGCAGAATTTGTACACATAATATATAACCCTGTGTAATTTCCAGCCTGGGCAAATCTCTGGATGAGGAAGAGCTTTCTGAAGCTGTCCTGGATTCTCACCCTAGTGTCATGGCTTCAAATAAGCTTTTACATGAAACGTGGACAGAAGGGAACATGGGGCATATTTATGCCATAGTTTATGTTTCACTTACTCATTGCTCTTTATTGTAATTTCCCCCAACTGATGATAAAATGCTTATAAAGCATTGGGCTGATAATTTGCAGGCTCTCCCGCTGCTCTGTTTGTTATAAAGCTACTCGTGTCTCCAGGAGAGTCTTTCTTCTTTTTGGATTTATGAGCCTAATGAACCACTGTTATTCTCCATCACAGGAGCCAGTGATGCTGTGACATTATAGCAGGAAGATTTGAAAACTTACGAGAAAGCACTTGAAACAAACTGCTGCTCTTAATAAGTGCCTCTTGTCTTCAGTGTGGTCTGAGGAAGATCTAAGTGAGCTAATGAATGATAAGAACAAACCAAGTCCTGCAGTAACCCTGCAAGCTCTGCTGCAGGGTAAGCAGTGCTAGTGAGACAAATCTTCTGCTGGGATGAACACTATTTATCAGTGGCAGGATGCTGATACACAGCTCCACTGACAGGCCCACTCTGCATACAAGAGCCTGAGTCCTCAGGTCTGCTTAGATTCTCCAGATGAGGGTTGTTGGATGTACAAGAGTAAATACGATTAAATTTAGCTGCAATTAAATTTAACTTTCACCTTACTAAAAGGCCTTTCACTGGAGCTCACCTGGTTGACTAGGCAACCTTTTGCCCCCCTAGGTGCTCTAGATTCACTTAACATCTTTTTCCAGGGCTGTTCTTGACAGTCACCAAATCCATATAATTTCAAACCAAAGAAGTGGAGGTGGGGGAAAAGGGATCACTTTCTGAAGACCAGTTGCAGACTGCTGGTCACCCTGTTGTTTCCATAAAGGAGCCCATTTCTGCCTACCACAGCAGGACACAATGCAGAGAAAGGCAGTACCATGGCTAGGCCAGCCCCAGGCTATTTAGGAAGTTATAGGTCATAACCCACACCTCCATCTCCACTTGGAGACCATTAAGAAGCCCATGTAAAACCTGGAGCACATGATTCATTGGCTCCCAGTGAGAAGCCCACAGTTAAAAGCATGTACTGTTCAGAGCCCCACTGTATAACCTGCTGGTATCAAAGAGACACTTCTTGGACACAAAAATTTGCTTCAGCTCAAAAAGCATGGAGAGTAGAACAGAAGCAAGTTGCCCAGTGCTCAACAATAAGTCAAGAGCAGCGCTAGACATGGAACCCAAGAGTCTTGGCTGGGAGTGCAAGTGAGACACCAGAATGCTCTGGCAAGGCTTCTGCTGCCTTTGGCTGTTCTGCTGGATTCCCAGAGACAAGTGGGTTGAGCCAGTTGAGCCATGCTGCATGTCGGGGCAGACCTTGAGAGGCTGCCAGTCCCTCCCCACCCTAAATGTCCCTGCCTGCAGAACCAGCTGGCTCCCACAAGGCTCCAAGCAGTGTCAGACAGCTCCTCCACAGCATGGCTGGTCAGGGCTCACCTGTAGGGCCACCCTGCACCATGGGCTTCCCTGACAGTCTTGACATACCCACTGTTGTCCAGGGTGGATGCTAGAGGTGGCTGGAACTTTTGTCTGCAGGTGAGCAATCTTGCCAAAACAATGAGACCTTCCACCACACATGATGCTTGAGCATGCTGTCAACTCTCTGTATTATTCATAAAAGCTCTGCTGTCTCCAGTTACTCTGTAATCATCACATCTTTCATTATGGCACACATATCTCAGCAATTGTACCCATTACAAAACCACCAAAGCATAATGGGAAACAATGACATGCTCCTTCTTTTTTTTTTCTGTGATTCAGTGGGATTGGGAACTCAGTGCAATACAGATCATTTAGCCAGCAAAACACTAGTGGAAGATGTATGGCGACATGCCAATCAGTGCTTTGAAAAGCTCAACCTAGGTGACTCTGTCTGTTAAAAAGTATTCAAAAGCCCCAATTACAATCAGTTAAAAGCAATAAGCATGCAAATTATTTTAAAACAAACTTTAATTAATTTCAGCATATGTTTCACTTAGGCTGATTAGTCAAATCTGATTTTCTGAAAAGAAAAAATAAACATCTGCTAATGATGATTTACATATTACCACTCACATGGCCTGCAGTGTGTTCTGAGGTTCTGCACAGCACAGGGAAGTGACGTCGTGCTGTGCCCGAGACCTCCAGGCTGCAGCCACCAGGTACAGAGAGCAACAGAAATAATTCTTTGATAAAATGCCTAGACATGCCCTAAAAGAACATGATGGTGTTGGTATGAACAACTGTCCCAGTAAGGGCCTTCACTTTTGTTAAGAACTCTTTGGGTGAAAAACAGGTAAAGCAGCTTGAAGTCTGGGCTCGGGAGACCCCAAACTGAAGCTCTGCACAGCCTGACCTTGGTACAGGCCAGAACTTCAAGATGCCAAGAGAGAAGCTTTTCAGGCAGCTGCATTCAGAATAACAAAGGCTTAACCTATTGTTCAGACCCCATTTCCCTCTAAAACCAGTGGAAAAAATTATCATTTGCAATAAACACATAACTTACCCAGCACAATCGCTTATTCTCTGTTCATTATATAGGGAGACAGGATGTGATAATCCTGCATAGGCTAAACCCTCTTTATGCCCAAGAGTCCATCGTGGGAGGCCTGAATACAGCCCCCTCATACCTTTGGGCCTGAACCTCACAGTAATGTAAATATTTAAAAGTCCGTGGCATTTTATATTCACAAGGCTGATAATGGAATAGCTTTAATATCCTTACAATGCCAAATCCAGATTAACACAATAACAGTGGCTCCCAAGCAGTTTATTAGCACTCATACCTGATATGTAGAAATCCTGGAGGGGGAAAAAAAGGAAAAAAAAAGTCCTGCCAACATATATTGCACACAGAGCTCCAAGATGTTGTATTCCAAGAGTTATTTCAGTTGTAGAAGCCATGTGGCACCATTACTTGGCATGAAGAGAGGATAAAGAGAGAATGGTCTATGACAGGTGTTGCTTTAAATATTTTGAAGATATGCATCAGGAATAGTTCATAAACGTGCTTCCAAAGTAGCTCTTACACCCACTGGGCTTGGCAGTCCTCACTCTTAAAAAACATGAACTTGGCGCAGTAGTCCCCTAAATCTTTTAAACTAGCTTAATCCTCCCAGTAATGAAACGTGCAGTCAGCTAGATGGGTGCATTTATCTGAAACTCACTTATTTACAAGCAACTAAAACATGAAATTAGCTGGTCCCAGAAGGCAGCTTTGTACTTCCCAACTCCTCTGCTATCATAAATCAACCCATTCAAGAGG